ACTCCGGGTAGACTCAGCATCATCACCTCTACAGAGGTTTCACTCCGGTGGACTCAGCATCATCACCTCTACAGAGAGGTTCACTCTGGTGGACTCAGCATCATCACCTCTACAGAGAGGTTCACTCCGGTGGACTCAGCATCATCACCTCTACAGAGTGGTTCACTCCAGGTAGACTCCCAGCATCATCACCTCTACAGAGAGGTTCACTCCGGTGGACTCAGCATCATCACCTCTACAGAGGTTCACTCCAGGTGGACTCAGCATCATCACCTCTACAGAGAGGTTCACTCGGGTGGACTCAGCATCATCACCTCTACAGAGGTTCACTCCACTCGGTGGACTCAGCATCATCACCTCTACAGAGAGGTTCACTCCGGGTGGACTCAGCATCATCACCTCTACAGAGAGGTTCACTCCGGGTGGACTCAGCATCATCACCTCTACAGAGAGGTTCACTCTGGGTGGACTCAGCATCATCACCTCTACAGAGAGGTTCACTCTGGGTGGACTCAGCATCATCACCTCTACAGAGAGGTTCACTCCAGGTGGACTCAGCATCATCACCTCTACAGAGAGGTTCACTCCGGGTGGACTCAGCATCATCACCTCTACAGAGAGGTTCACTCGGGTGGACTCAGCATCATCACCTCTACAGAGAGGTTCACTCGGGTGGACTCAGCATCATCACCCTACAGAGAGGTTCACCCAGGTGGACTCAGCATCATCACCTCTACAGAGAGGTTCACTCTCGGTGGACTCAGCATCATCACCTCTACAGAGAGGTTCACTCGGGTGGACTCAGCATCATCACCTCTACAGAGGTTCACTCCGGGTGGACTCAGCATCATCACCTCTACAGAGAGGTTCACTCCGGGTGGACTCAGCATCATCACCTCTACAGAGAGGTTCACTCCGGGTGGACTCAGCATCATCACCTCTACAGAGAGGTTCACTCCGGGTGGACTCAGCATCATCACCTCTACAGAGAGGTTCACTCCGGGTGGACTCAGCATCATCACCTGTACAGAGAGGTTCACTCCAGGTAGACTCAGCATCATCACCTCTACAGAGAGGTTCACTCCGGGTGGACTCAGCATCATCACCTCTACAGAGAGGTTCACTCCGGGTGGACTCAGCATCATCACCTCTACAGAGAGGTTCACTCCGGGTGGACTCAGCATCATCACCTCTACAGAGAGGATCACTCTGGGTGGACTCAGCATCATCACCTCTACAGCAACAACAAGACAGTTAGGTGTTCACTGGCGACATATCATTAAGACACTACAGGAAAATGATTGACAGTCTGACTTTGTGTAGAACCACAATGAACAGCACTCTCCTGCTGTAGTGTTACCTGGAGATGGAGAATAACCTTGTTAGACACAAACACACACTGATGCAGGGGCTACAGACACTTTTGGAAACTGACTTACGAAACTGTGTTGAGTCTAGTAAAGGGTTCTAAAGGTAAACCGGATGTATGCATAGAAACTACCTTGATGTTGAAATACAATAAGTCTTACTTTCTCATCAGCTGTTAGACAAATGGGGTATGGTCTGGACTAATCCATGTCACCACTTGCATTTATTGATTTAACTAATCCTGCGGCACAACAGGATGAGACATGATACTCAATATAGCACACTTGACAAATGGGGCACCTGCTCAATGATGGGTGAGACTGGTCCTGATGCACACTGAGGGTGAGACAAAATTATTGATCATGATGCTCAGCACTGGGCACCTGGTAATTGGTGGATGAGACCCAAAGAGGGTGAAACAAATCCAAGTTAATGAAACTCAATATGGGGCACCTGTAAAATGGTGGGTGAAGCTGGTCCTGCCACACAAAGAAGGTGAGACAAATCAAATTTAATGAAACTCAATATGGGGCACCTGCAAATGGAGCACCTGCTAAATGGTGGATGAGACTGGTCCTGTGACACAGAGGCTGAGACAAAATAAATGTGTTGATACTAAATAACCTCCTGATGGCTGGTCCTTGTGGAACACAGGTGACTTATACACAAAACTGCTCATTGTAGGCAGAGTGATATGGATCATATGGACACTCACATATCTGATATGCCTTGATGTGCAAGGTTGCCACACATAACACTAATTCATTGTGTAATCATAGGGCATTCTTCTACATCATTCCCCTGATTATAAGATACGTAAAACACTTCTATACCATCATTGATCTTTGAGCTTCAGTTGATGTACATGAACTGACACTGTGTTTACCACAGGGGCGTGTCACGCTTAGAAACAGTGTTAGAAAGACATATAGGTATATAGACCCTAACCTAGTACTATATAAAAGGAAAGGGATGTAACGACTGAACCACCCCCTCCTCAATCAAAGTTAGATTTCACCACGTAAACCTTTTTTAAGGCCTACGGATCAAAAGCGAGATGATTTCCCTACAAAATGAGCTATAACTGGTCACAATCGGATCACTATTTCAAAAGTTATACGCCACGACTCACCGAAAACAGCTACCTCCACAATTCCAAGCCAAAATCATGGATCACCCAAGACAGCGAAAACTCATCTTTTAAATTCGTTTATTAATTCCAGCCACGTTGACAGCACCTATGTAGGGCTAGATTCGATCAGCAGCGGCATTCCACGGGTCTAAAAACTTATTGCAACATCTAGAAATCATTTCCTCGACAGTAGGCAGACATTTTCTCCCAAACCATCGGCAATCATACTCACTTGTCGGCCATAGATGGCCTTGACATTCAAGTGATCTGAGCAGATCCGCAGAAACGAAATTGGGCCATCCGATTGGTGGAAAATATAACATACTGTAAGATTGTGACTGTTTGCTAATGGGCTCGAAATATGAACTTTGCAATAATCCTTTATTTTGGATGATGTACGGAACAGCAAATTGTTAAGAAAAGTTTTAGAGGTTGTAAAAATGCATTCGATATTGATTCCTTTTCAGGAAATTATATTTATAAATATTTAACCTCTAAAATTATTCTTACAAATTTACTGCTCAGGTCACTTAATGTCAAGGCCATCTATAGCCGACAAGTGAGTATGATTGCCGATGGTTTGGGAGAAAATGTCTGCCTACTGTCGAGGAAATGATTTGTAGATGTTGCAATAAGTTTTTAGACCCGTGGAATGCCGCCAATCTGCCGACGAATCTAGCCCTACATAGGTGCTGTCAATAGGTGAGTTTTCGCTGGAATTAATAAACTAATTAATAAACGTTAAGGGGCCTTAAAAAGGTTTGTGACGTGGTGAAATCTAACTTTGATTGAGGGCGGGGTGGTTCCGTCGTTACATCCCTTTCCTTTTATATAGTACTAGGGTAGGGTCTATACACCTATATGTCTTTCTAATGCTGTTTCTAAGCGTGACACGCCCCTGTGGTGTTTACAAGGTGAAGGACAAATACTATACATTTATCAGTTGCTATTATGATACTTGCATTTGTTTTTCTTTCATTGACTGTAATACTGAAGAGAATTATTCACATTCCATTTATATGTGATCAGCATGTGGCAACACCTATAGTTTGGCATGAAATGCATGTGGACCCGTTTTTTTGTAAATATCTCTTCATCCAATGACCCAATCGATCTCAAACTGTGCAAGTGGATGTTTTGTCAGACAACCTAATCACATTGTAAATCACTGATTTTATGCATTTGTATTAAAGAATCTGTCTATGTAACTGTCAACAAAATAAACAGCAGAACGCAGAAGGCTTGCAGAGGGAGGGAGCCATTGACCTGTAACAGCGGTAGTGTTGGGTCATAAAGGTCAACGATCGTCAATGTAGGTCAGCTATGCTGATGACCCTGATGTCAAAAGAATCTAACTTTGATGCCTACCTTTTGTACAAGGTTTTGTTTATTGGTTGTTGGTTTATTTTTCACAATTGTTAGCACGATGTTCTTTTCATGCCAAGAGCAAAAGTTGTACGTTTCATGTAATCCGACACCTTATAAATCGGTTTGCTACGCTTTGCTCTCTTTTAAAAAAAATTAAACACATTGCTAATTAAACGCTTAGCATCATCTGAATAAGCTTTCATGATGACAGCTAGAAGTAGTCAATGTGAATGATCCAAACGGTCTATCACTGTGCAGTGCACAGGTAACTATCATGAACTGCACGTGCATTTACCTTTATGATCCAACACTACCGCTGTTACAGGTCATTGGCTCCCTCCCTCTGCAAGCCTTCTGCGTTCTGCTGTTGATTTTGTTGACAGTTACATAGACAGATTCTTTAATACAAATGCATAAAATCGGTGATTTACAATGTGATTAGGTTGTCTGACAAAACATCCACTTGCACAGTTTGAGATCGATTGGGTCATTGGATGAAGAGATATTTATAAAAAAAACGGGTCCACATGCATTTCATGCCAAACTATAGTCATTGTTGTTGTTGTTTTTTATCAGTGTTTCCCAAGTCCCTGCTCATTTTTCTTCATGCAATGACCAGGTTTCATTTGTAATTTGTAATCACAAATAGCCAGTAGTGAGCGACTATTGTCCTACACTCAGTACAGCAATATCAGGGTGGGTGACCCCAGAAGCTACCAACCGTCCACAGACATGATTTGCTCCATCATGTTTATTTGTGCACTTCTCAAACAGGAATGTGAGACAGTGTGTAAAATATAGCACACTTTCGGCTGCTGTCGCCATTAAAAACACAAAACGAAACTCAAGTCCATCCTAAATATAGAAGCCTTGAACAGTTCTGAAAAAGAAATCAGCAGAAGACGAACTCTGACGTTAATAAGGAAGTGTTTTGTTCAAGTTTGATTAATAAAATTTGCCCCAATTATTATGACACGTACGCATCAGTGTCATCAATGTCAGCTGAAAAAGAATGACAATTCGTCATACTCTGCTAAAAACAACAACAGGCACGCGCTTGTATCCAAGGAACGATCAAAGATGGGCCACAGTTACATTCCTAAGATTCTCCAGGCTTGAATTCATTACTTACATGTTGTAATGGTTCGATCTAATGAGTATTCAAAGTCCAGATAGCAATTCTTCTCTCGAAGAAGACACTGTCTACACTCATCTACTCACACCTACTATCAGTTCCTCCTCTCCGATCAGATGACGGATGTACACAAACACACGTGATACAATTATAGTAATACCCTACGACTGTTTCCGAACACAATATCACAACAGCGAGCCTCTTTCATGAAATGAATACAGATACCTAGAATTAGAATATCATGAATCTTCAAGCTACAGTTGTTTGTTGTAAAAAGTTTAAATGCTATTTATGAGTTGGGTTGATACTCGGCTGATTAGAATGGTCTTCAGCAATCCATGCTTGGATGATATCGGTGGTCTGATTCGCTGACTTGGTTGAAACATGTCAGCTTGACTAATACTTAATCTCTGAATATAAATAATTCTGATAGAAACAAACAATTCCTTTAAAAATTAAAAAGGAGACCCAGTGGAAAGGGAGATTCAGAACTGAACCTGTGGAAATCTAGACTTGTTTCATTTAGGGCTTTAACATTGCGGAAATGGCTGGGCAAGAGGATAAATAATGCAGTTGAATTTAGATCATATTTCAGTTTCAATTGAAAATATCTTAGTTTTAAGTTCGCGATGTTATATTGGGAGAACTGCACTGGACTGGCGCACTTTTTAGATTAATTAACGCTGCTGGGTTTCAACCCTAACCCTAAGGATCGTAAAGGGTGCCTAACCCTAAAACGTAGAGGGAGCAGCGAATAAAACTTTGAAAAAGAAAACGAAATGGCGCAATGCACAATAACTGATGGATATTTTTGCTATTCGTTTCATATTCGTTAATTTGTTTCCGCACAAATTCACAACAAATAAAAAACGGTATGGATAATTTCAAATTCTCCTTTTCCTTCTCCAGTCATCCAATCAGAGACCTAAGTCGGTAAATATTCTTCCCCAGGTTGAAAGCAACTATCAGTAAAAATGCCATTATAGAAATGGTAAATTTCCCAAATTATATTGGTTGAATTACAGAGATGCGATGGCTTGGAAGAGGTGACTTATATTCAAATATTAACATTGGACCGTTTTACACGATTGTATTAAGTGGAATATTAAGATACAATGTTCTATAAATAGGAATAAGATATAAGGATGAACCACTCCTTGTCACAAGAAGGAGCGATAGTCGGGGTAGTTCTGACGCTGTTATCAAGGAAGTGATGTTACAGAATGTGGTGGAGACGAGGTTGACTTATTGTTATGTATTAACTGTTCTTATTTATCAACATCCATTGTTTATTGTTATGTACGTACGTTGCTCAAGAGTGTATATACATGTCCATTCACATGCTCATCAGTTCCATGAACTTCTGGGAGGATTCTTATGAACAACTCTGAAAAATAAGAAAAGACAGATTCTGAACAACACACACACACACACACACACACACACACACACACACACACACACACACACACACACACACACACACACACACACACACACACACACATTTCTCCAATTTGCACCCCCATACATATTTATTTTTTACCGAGACAATCGTGTCCGCTGTCCTATATCTAAGTTTCCTCTTGCTTTGGGGTGGTGGCCAACCTAAGACACTTAGTTGGGAATCTTAGATAAATCCCCGGACATAGTCCCTGTAATTAAAGTTGCACATCCTACGATCTGGTTTAGCCGAATAACACATCAGGTTTTCAGTCACTTTATTCAACTTATCTTCGGTCTGGTCTAGTATCCTTCAAAGTGTTACTAAAGAACATTATGAGTTTTGTTATTCTTCTGAAAACATTAGATAACCAAAAAATAAAACCGAGCATAAGAATAAAATAGGAATAATTAAGTTTTAAGTGTCCTTAATTATACATTTGAGAGGAAAGATAATATGATTTATGAGATAGTGAAGGCTTGTGGATACTAAATTCAGGCCAAGGAGACAAACACATTGAAACGGAGTACTTTCAAGTTTCATTTATTGATAAATAGTCCTGTAGGAAATAGTAGATGAATCACGCGTACAATGTGCCGAAAACTGATGTGATATGTCGCGTTAATTGACAGTGTATTGTTTTTCACGATATCTATCTAATTTGCCTTGCAATCAGTACCTGAGATGTATAGTTTCACGTTTTTCACGTGATTCAGTGGAGACTGATAAATAATTCATACGATAAAGAATGTTTGCGGCAACCGTGTGCTATTTCGAGCATGTGCAGAGTGATCTCCTCTTGGCGCCACCGGTCATCGTCGTCACACGCTGTTGAGGAATTTGGTGGCGAAGAAAAAGAAATTGCAGATTTATCCCAGTCTTACATAGCATCGTATTCAAAACATGGATGTTGGGAAGTTGGTGGAGGTGCTTAGAGCAACCCTCGATCCAGAGCAGCGAGAGAATGCCGAGCAACAGTTGACGGAGGTGAGAGGCCCGACCACGTTTTCCGTCATGGCAGATTTCCATGTCGCTCTTTTTCGTCATGATAAATTGTTTTTGTCACATTGGTATCAAGTTGATCATGATAGGTTTCAAATGTTATGATTCGCTGTTTAATGAACTTCGATTTAATAGATATGATCGTGTTGTACCCGAAAGACTGTCTCTCGTGGAACCATCATTATCCCATGCGTTTATCCCATGCATGACGCATGCCAAGTTCTGGTCGCACGTGTGCTCCAGGCAAAATACCAACTGCCTCTTCCCTGATCGTAGAATGAAATATTGTTTGTAATCTTCATTAATATGTAACCTGTTAGGTATTTACAGTTGTTGAAACATGACCTCTCACTGTCACTTGACACATTTCGAGGTCTGTGAACTATAACTAGAATCATAAAGAGTTATCAGACAGACTATTTTTATCATAAAGATGTTTTTCATGTCAAATGTGTCACTACTACTCATCTTCTACAGGTGATGGGTCCAATGTGAAATTTGTGTCTGATGATTCTTAGAACCTGATCTGTTTGAATATGTCATTCTGACAGATGTTAGTTTTGAGTTGCACTTATCAAATCAGGGATAATGTCTTAAAATCACTCGATCTACTGTGAAGTTATCTACCCTGTGTTGAAGATGATTTGTGAAGCAAGTAGACCTTCCCCATTGTAAACAGTTGTTCTGTATGTTAACATTGACCTGAAACTTTTATCGATGGCATTAGCTTTTTGACTGAACATATGTCGAAGTGTCCCAGTAAGTAATAGGTACAAGCTGCGCATAATTACCGGACAGCAAGCGATGTCGTCAAAACGCCGGTAAGGTCACCGTATGGCATAATGCAACGTTGGAATCTTATAGTCAATAAAACTTATATTTCTAGGTAAATATGATGAATACCAGCATGTTTAGTCATGTAAACAAAAAAAAAAAGAGACGTTAGTTGCCGTGTTGCGATCCATATCTTAGGTGCGCGGAATTATCGGGCGGCATTGTATAAAAGTTGAGAAAAGAGTAATTATTTTTTCTTCATCAGTGCACACAAGGTGTTTTAAAGTTACATGAATTCCTTTGATGTTTTGAGTAGTCCCGTTACAATTCAGTGAATCAAACCATATCCCTTCATGAATTCAATTCATCATTCATGTTCACAAAATATCGAATGTTTATGAATATATTTAAGAGAGTGTTTATGCTTGGAAATGGTTTCTTGTTTATCTAAGTGTGATATACAAGATGGAGTATGTCCAAAGCATGTAGTGGTGTAAATTTGCCAAGGCCCCTCACTGCACTGTCATCATGCTATAAGTTGCAGTGGTCGTAACATATTAATCTTTTTGCTTTCTGATAAATATTATTATGATAGGATATTAATGTAGCGCACATGTCCACACACTAGTACATGTTCAAGGCGCTGTTTTTTTTCCTCCATCATTTTAGCCACTAGGCGCAATAAGTTATTGCGGCTTCCCCATCATTACGAGGCACCAATTCACACCTGGGTGGGCTGGGACACATAGTCACAGTACTTAGTCCAAGTTTATTTATTTATTATTGGATGTTTATGTAGCGCACATGTTCACGCACTAGTGCATGCTCAAGGCGCTGGTATTTTGTCCCAACGGCACATCTTATGGTAAGAGTTCCTCCCGTACCCTCTTCCCAAATAATGTTTATAAATTAACATATACTAAAATTATTAACAAAACTTAAGAGAACAATTACTAGAGAACTAAAACAAATGACTAAAAGTCCAAACTTTAAGTTAGGGTTAGGTTTAGAGGCAGGTTTAGGGTTGGGGACCGGAAGGAACGCTTTCCCATCTTATTGTCAATCTCAACTCCCTGGGGATCATACAACTCTTGCTGCCACAAGGCGCACCAAGTTATTGCGGCTTTCCCTGCCGAGTTACCCATTCAAAGCTGGGTGGACTGGGACACATAGTCACAGTACTTTGTCCAAGTTTACAGCACGTTGCTGTACCTGCAACTAGGTGTTTGCACATATTCATGTGGCCACTATCTGGTGATATACCAACGGATTTGTTGGTTCTTTTAAGTGCACAGGGTTGTGTACTGTACACTAGGGGTTGTGACAACACTGAAAGAGTCTTCACAAAAGTTTACACTAAGGTTTTTACACCTGTTCACAGATGGGCTCGATCCTTTCACCTCAAGCTCACATAAATATCATTTAAATGTTTCAACTTAAGCAATTACATGACATATTTATTATTATAATTTCTTGACCTAAAGTATTCATGAATAAATATTTGTATTTGTTATGGTATATTCATCAAACATATCATATTGACCTCGTAGTGCATTTGTTGCAGTTCTAGTTGTAGCAGTTGAATGAGGAAGTTTTAACATTTTGCCAAATTACTGCTGTAATCACCATAATGATATTCACGAAGTATGTCAGTAACCAATATTTCTATATTAAGGAACCACTGCCTTGTACCACATGTCACATCCTTCCTTTAGGCATCAGGTTTATTCTTAGATGTTCTATTTTAGAGTTTTCATGATTCATTTTTTGGTTTTAAAAGTCAAAATATAATTTTGAGTTGCAGTCTAAATTTTATGTAGCATTATTACAATGATTCTTCTTCCTCTAAAGTTTGAATCAAGTTCCAGTTTTTGTGTTTTTCCATACACATATTATGTGGATGAGACAATGCCTGTTGTTGACATAACTAATGAGAACAACTGGACGTGCATGCAATGTGACCATAATGTTCAAGGTCAGATGAGTGTGTTTGACCCAGTCTCTGCCCCAGACATTTGATTATACACACAAACCTGTCATTTCACTTCATTTCAGTAAGGGGCGGTGGGGTAGCCTAATGGTTAAAGCGTTGGCTCGTCACCCCGAAGACCCGGGTTCGAATCCCCACATGGGTACAATGTGTGAAGCCAAATTCTGGTGTCCCCCGCCGTGATGTTGCTGGAATATTGCTAAAAGCGGCGTAAAACCAAACTCAGTCAGTCAGTCATTTCAGTAAATCGTACTGTTGATGTATGTATATAAGCAAACCCTTTTAGATCAAAGAGTTTTTACTAAACTCTGGCACTGGAATAGTGACTCTAATCACCAACTGTTGATATCTGTTATACCAGGATATGGTGTCATAATTTCTTGTCAATAATACATTCTTTCTGTACAATACAGTCTTTCAATCTGTTCATTATTATTTTCATGAATTCTGGGAAAATATTGTTTGAACTGATAGGCAGATCACTCAAACACACTGATCAAACATCAACCACAAAAATAGTGAATCACCTTTGACTCAAGACATGCATCTTACAACATTAACAGTCCACAAGAATTCACTTAAAAGTCTAATTTATAGATAGTAATGCTGGGAGGTCACAACCATGCTTTTCATGTAAACTCTGGCCTGCTACAGTGCTAGGGCTGTTAGACACTTCCCTTTCCTTGTCTGCCATTACAATCCTTCATATGATAAAGTTATATTGCACCTTTCATCATAATCTGCCTGCCATTGATAATTATACTATAGACTTGTGGTACAATAATCAATGTCAAGCAGTGACAGGTGGAGGTTGTGTCCATGTCAGGCTGGGCTGGGTTGTAGCTATGTCGATCAATCATTATGTTTGTCTAAAAGTTGAAAGTTGACATATACTTCAGTCAAAGTTTAGTTGAATTGGTAGTGATGGAGAGATGTGCATCAGTTGATTGCTGTTTTTACTTCCCAATATAAGTATTGATCACAAATCAGCGTAAGTTAATAATATAAATTTTCACCTTGAAAGTTCACATTGATAATGGTACCTCCAAACCAACACTATTTAGAAGTGAATAATTTCATCCATTTTGCCATAATTGACTCTGGCACACATTTGACTTCAGATAATATCAACACAGTTGATAAAGAGTTGCCTCCCTTCTGGATCTTCATCCATGCTGATTTTATTGGCTGTGTGACTAAGTAGTGCCCAGTTGCAGCATAATTTACTTTGTCAGAATGCAGAATGAAGGATAATAGCTAGAAGGCTTAAAAGCCTGACATAAATTTGTTAAATTGTCATTGTGGGAGATAATTGGCTATCCTGTCTATGAAAATGGTGGCACATGTTCCACAGAGTGCATTCAAGTGTCCTGGGGGTCGTTCTACAAAGCAGTCAAGGTGCTAAGATGCACGTAACTACCCATACTTTATCTTACCTTATATGTGAATCACTGTAATCTGATTGGACAATACTGTTTCAGTGATAGAAACTCTTTCAAAAACTCTAGTGGCCCAAATGTTTCAAGTCTGGCCACCACTTTTTGAAAGTAAGTAGCCAAAACCACTTTTTGGTGGCCCAAATAAAGTTAGTACAAACTAACACATATTGGCAGTTGCGAATAGATATAACAGGAAGAGGGTGTACACTTTATAGTAAATTTAAATTTGAATGCTTTGTTGCTGTTGAAAATTGTATTTCATTTTACGAAAATATTTGATAAGCAATATTATGTTAATGATAACATATGTTACATAAATGACATGATCAATAAAAAGATATGAAACAAAATTACTATGACATTCACTTGTAGAATGTCAACTGTTTCACTGTCTGTAGAATGAGTGTAGATCATGTATTATAGATGTATAACTGAAATTCATTTCTGATAAGGTCAAAATGTTTATAAATTTTCAATCCCCTACAAGTGATAATAATATTATTCTAATTTAGTTATCATATACTTTTATCAATTTATTATAAGTTATAACTTCATTAAACGTGTCTCACTAAAATATGTCTTCAATTCGTCTGTAGGAAATCGAAAATTAATTTTAATTTTAAACATTCTATTTGTATAACAGATGGCTCGATCTAATACTGAAAGTAACCCAAATATATCGCTTGAAACTAAATAATGTTAACAAAAATATAACTTATCACAGTATCAATGTCATAGCTGGTCAGATTTTACAGTGTACACCCTCTACGAACATATCAATC